CGCCTCACTACCACCACCACCATCACCATCCCAACCACTACCATCCCACCATCCCGTCATCCCACCATCTCTCACCCCTTATCCTGTTACTACCCCCTATCCCACTGTCTCCCCCCGCCTCTCGCACTCACGCTCAGTCTCACTCGCTCGCGATACCCTGCCACCTTCCCCCCTGTCCGCCAACCACTGCTTCTGTTGACCAATATATTGAGTTTAAATTGGGGATAAGCTTGTAAAATAGTGAGCCAACCCTGTGCAAATATAGATGCGCAAAGAAATCATCCAACATCTAACAACTAACTGACTTGGCTATTATTCATTCTTCCCGATTAATATTACTAAAGAAGATGTCGTGCTCTGTATCATTGTAATATTAGCTAAAAGTGAAGCTTGACGGAGTCGATGAGCATTTATCGTAAACTACATTACGAAATATTAAAAATATCGTTGCCACGTATCGCACTATTCTTTACGGTAAGATAACGAAATTTTTATTAATAATGTATATATAATGTATAAAATATATTATTGGCATACGATATTAACTATGGTTAGCTTAGTTTAATCGTCATTATTAAATGTCTTGAAAATACTTTATAGATATTTCAAATGAATGAAACAGATTTTTCGGCAATTTCTACAATGCATTTTCTAACAAAAGTTCTTAGTCTGGAATCTGTCTGCAGTCCCGATTTTACTTTCTTCTTCAACTCTATTCTGATATAGTTTATCGTTCGTTCATAGGCATTCGACAATTTATTTTCCTCGCATCTTTGATCATTGAATTCTTTGAGCAATTCACGATGTATTTCAATATACAGTCTTCTCTTTAAATTTTTGTTTATTTAAATTTTATTTTTGTTTTTGTTATTTTTTTTTTTTTTATTTTCATTCGCTCTTCCTCACTTGATTGTTTCGTACTCTTATAACATCAACTAATTACCTTCTGCTCGTCGTTTTAATCCATGTTTCATTATATTACAATTCAATTAATTAACTACTTAAAACGAGATAAAACCTATGTAATGACTTTTCCGTACTGTATTTCATTCAAGACAATAAAACAAATTTACAGATTATATAAACGTATTAATTTTATTTATTATTTTTATAAATAAAAATATATTATTTAGTTATATATGTTAGGGAAACAAGGAGGTATGTTTTAGTTTATAGAATTAAATTTATTTATGCACGAAAGAAAAAACTTATTACAAGGAATTTTGCATGAAATATATAAATATAGATTAATATTTATATTAATATGTGCATGGATGCTGTTCTCATTTTATTTATAAATTGAACATCTCTAATTAAAAAAAATATAATTATATTTTCATTCAAAGAATTATATTTGAAATACAATTATATTCTAGATTACATTCTACCGAGTTAAATGTAAGAAAAATCTTTTAAAATATTTTCATTTCTTTCATTAATCTTTCATCATTCGGAAAAAGTTAACAATAAAGAACACATATTTGCAGGATTTTATTTTTACTGCTTTTTTTATTTTTTATTTTATCTCTTTGGCTTTCTTAATAGGCAAATTGTTTGCCGAATTGTTCCATTGTTTATCCTCAAAATCTCAAAATCTCTCGTAGCATTTAATTTAACTCGAATGACATTCGATTGACTCGTCCGATCAAAATCGAAGAAAACATCCAAAGTTTCCCTATTATCCAATTGATATTTATCTATGAATGAATATTCTCTTCTATTTCTCTGTTGACATTTTCGTATCATACATCATCATTTCATTCATAATTTCTTCACAATTCACGAATACTTTTGCTACTGATCTTTAAACATCGAGTACTCTTTATCTTAAATATTAATACTTTGAACTTCTTGTATTATATTGTTGAGGCATGTTATCCCAGTTTATTTCTAATAATATAAGATTTTTAAATCAATCGCAAGCCACCGGTCAGCAATTTGCTACAAAATCCACTCGTTCAATCCCATTAGTCACGAAAAAGTCAATGGCTACAAGCTATTTAAAAGCTTTAAAAAAAAAAAAAAAAAAAAAAAAAACTGACAATGACCCTTTAGAATGGCTTTAGAAATGCTGAAAAATTAACATTCAAAAGACAGTAGTATATATAGTAGATCATAATCTATCTGAAAATTATCTTATTTCGGCACTGGGACAGTAGCAGATTCGTTAATCGACGTAACTTGGTGAGTTCGAGATACCGAAGCTCCTCAAATAGTAAGAAAGTTTAACGATCCTGACAATGCCTCCGACAATAACGATAGTTCGATCGTAATGGCATGTTGGCGATGGAAAGGGTAGCCAGTATCAGGATTGACAGAGAGATCAAAATAAAAAGAATCCGAGTGTTGTGGAGTGCTGGGTTGGTGAAGGGCTCGGGGACGAGTGGGCGGTAGGTGGTAGTGTGGGGAGGGGGAAGGGGGAGGGGGAAGGGGGGAGGCGGGAGGATGGAAGCAGGAAATTTCACGAGCCGTGCACTGAACGACGAAGTTCGTTTCCGGCGCGGACGCGCTGCAATAGTGACAAAGGACACGATGGCGGACTGCGTACCACCGGCAACATACATACGTGCGGGGACATAACTGTATGTGTATTACTATGGTTTCGAGCTCTGGCGCTTGCTCTGACGTAAAGGGGATTGGAGGCTGAGCGAGTGAACGCGTTTAAACTTCACTCGGAACTCATCGTTATGTTTCAACTCCTCTGCTCACTATCTCTGTTTTTGTATCTTCTTCCTTCGGTCTATTTTGGTTTTTTTTCTCTCTCTCTCCGTTCGGTATCCCTGTTCTTTTACTTACTCGAAAAAGGAAAAAAATCAAGTTTTTTTCCTTTTTTTTTTTGGAAAACAAATTTCACGTGCAAGTGCTTTTCATTTGCACAAGTTTTTGTTGTATCACATATACGCGTCGACATATTGTTTGACTCCCTATCGATGTACGTAGAATAATTTTCGTGTAATTAAGAATGAGAAATGTTGATCTTCAACGGTATGATTATTTATTGATTTAAATTTATTTTAATTATTATTGGCTAGTGCAGAGTGCGATTTTGAAAAAATGATCTGCCATTTAATCGATTAACTATGCCATTTATTGGTTAGAATATTATGTATCGATATTGTATGCAAATATTATTTTCAATAAATAAGTAATGCGAATCTTATTTTTATTAAACGTAGAATAAAATAATTGTTTTCCTGCACTCGCGAGTGTTTATTGATTATTTGTTGGATATTATTATACCGAATAAACTTTTATCAAAACTATTACTAAAATAGGTGTTTTATGTGGTTGAGTAAGTGCGATTAAATAAAAATGAATAAAATCATTTATTAGATATTGGTAGATTACAATAATATTTATGATAACGTTTAAAATTAATACTTGAGTAAGCAAATATTGAATATAACGGGTTACGATAAAATATCTATTTTTCAATAGATCATTAATAGTTAACTAGCTTCTGTTGAAGATTGTAATATCAGAATTAATATATCCCTTGCAAAATTTTCAAAAATTCATCATATCATATAAATCATATTGTCCCTTTCATAATAATAGAATTAATGATAAAGAAAAAAGCAAGCATTCGTGATTATAGAAATTTGTCTTTGAATTTTGGAATAAATCGTTGCATTGCAAAATCGACCATTAATTACATACTTTATACAAAGAATTTAGAATTTAATATTAATGAAAATTGGTTATGGGCTTCTATAGAAATATTTGTACTAAAGCATTAAAGCCTCGTTTACTATTTATTAATTTCATAACTACATTATTATGAAGCGCAGATAATTTTAATAGATTTATAAGCCAATACTGTAGACTATTCTTTATTTGATTAACCAATGTCGTTTTAATAAAGAGACGCTTGTATACTCTATTAGAGTTCGGACCCTAAGGACGGCTTTCGACCCTTATTCTTCGTTTGAATTTCACGCAATCAGATTAACCCGATTATTCATGGAGAAATTAGGTGTGCTGACATGTAAGCACTGCAACTTCTAAGGTATTTATCCGTTGTTTCGATTTCTGCTCGCTCGCGCTCTCTCTCTCTCTCTCTCTCTCTCTCTCTCTCTCTCTCTCTCGCTGTCAGTCTATTCTTTATTCTCTATTGCTTGCCCGCTCCATTATCGCAATACATGTTGAGTCTACGATAGAGTCTTTATTGGAATAAAGATAAGGATGAAACTTGTCTTGCTAGTATCTCGCACTCTATGATCTTTTTAGAAACGAATAAGTCGCATAAAATATGCGTTTTATTAGTCGTAAAGAATTGCGCGATGTATGATTTATTAATTTTCTTATGCCAGATAAATTATCGTTCATGCAGATTAAATATCGCATTATTTCATAATACAATTAGTTTAATATATCGCATCGATGGCTGAAAGTTGATTAATTTTCAAATAAATATTTTTTTGTAAATTAAATAATAATTTTTAGTGTGTGTCATCTGTATGTGATTTAGCAGCGATGAACCATTTTAAATTTTCAATGACTGCAGACTTCGTACTAGCATTACGATCAATGCATAAATGTCAGTAATTATGAAAAGTCTGAAGAATTTTGAAAGTGAATTGAAAAATAAGGAAAGCGCACACAACAATGAAGATTGAACAAGAACAAATGAAATTCAAAATTAACCGTATGAACGTACATAAATGAAGGTAACTTGGGAAATTGTAATGATTACTCATGTAAAAACATATATTCAAATATATTATATTTGTATATTTACTATTTGTTTGTTATTATAAATTTTTGCACTATAATTATATATCCAATAAAAATATTTTGGTTCTTTTATAAATCCCGTTTTATAGATATGAATAGTTGAAATAAAAATGTCTAAAATAAAAAGGCTTGCGTTATTGGCGTATATAATATAAGGAATTATTATAATATTTAACAAACTACAACTAAAACACAATAGTGAAATGGTATATTAGTATTGGATATTAAAATGTTTAAACTGAAGCTTCATTTACAATTATTGAACTTTATGAATGTCATGATGAAATTATAAAATATTCAACATTCTAATTGGCTATTATATT